GTTGGGAGATCTGTGCACCTCCATGGCCTGAGAGACTATCTTCTTCCCAATGATTGGGGAAGTTTTCAGCAATTACCTCCTCAAAGACACTTTCTATCCCTTTTTCTCTCTCTTCTTCTTCTGGTACCCCCATGATATGAATATTGTTTCACTTGGATTGGATTGGTCACACAGTTCTCAGTATTCTTTCATTCTTAGACATCCTTTTTCCTTTCTGTGTCTTGGCTTCTTTGTATTCCTCTTCCCTAATTTCTATTTCATTTATCATCTCCTCCCCCATATCTAATCCTCTTTTAATACCCCCATTGTGTTCTTCAATGATTCGCTCTCTATCCTAAATTCATTCCTGAGTTCTTGAATATTTTTCTGTATGTGCATGAGCATGTTTATGATTTTTACTTTGAAATCTCTTTCAGGGAGATTCATGTGGTCAATTTCATTTGAATCTTTCTCAGTTGTATTCATAATTTTGTTTTGAACTTGTTTCTTTTGATGTTTCATACTTTGTCTGTGGTGTCCTCTATTGCCCAGAAGCTCTACTCTCTGGAGCTGCTCAGTCCCTGGAGAATTATCGGGGATCATAGGGGAGCAGTGTTGGTGCTTGGGGGGATGGAAGAGCTGTTTCCTGCTTCCGGGTTGCTGTGCCTCCTTCCACTGCCAGAACCAGTGGGCTGAACACACAGGTTAATCCTCTATGCTTTGTGTTTGTAGCTGCCATAGGCGGGGCTTTCCTCTGGCTGGCATAATGCCAGGGCAGGGGTTGCTGGTTTGCGAGCCTGAGCCAGGTACAGGCTAGCCAGGAGGAAGACACAGTAGGCTGCATATTACAGAGAGGGACCTTGGAGCTGCGTAGCCAGCCAGGGGGATGGAGCACCTGAAGATTATTTAAGTTCCCAACCTGGTGGGCAGAGTGCACCCAGGCAATTTTGTCTACCTGTCCTTTCTCCTGAACAATAAGCACTGTGCAATTTTTGTCCCTTTAGCAGCCCTCTCACTTTTAGGAAGTCTCTCAGACTGCCCACCCAGAACAGCCGGGTATGAATTCCTGTTTTCCACAATCAGCTGGAATGTCCATCTCTCCAGGTATTCCTCTTGTCTTAGCTGTCCAACCCCACTAAATCATCAGAGTGCCATGCAATGTAGGTTCATGCTCCCAGAGCAGATCTCTAGGGCTAGGTATTCAGCAGTACCAGTTCTCTACTCCCTCCCCGCTCTATTTCTCTTCGTCCCGCAGGCGAGCTAGGGTGGGGGTTGGGCTTCAGACCCACCAGGTCACAGCTTTGATACATTACCCTGTTCTATAAGGTCTGCTTTTTTCTCCAGGTATATGCAGTCTGGTGCAGCCTTCTTTCCTGTTGCTGTTTCAGGTTTAGTTGTATTAATTATATTTTTGTATTATATGTGGTTTTAGGAGGAGGTCTCTGTCTCACCTCTCATGCCGCCATCTTTAATCCAGTCCCCTCAATCCCCATTTTTTAACTGCTTTTGTTTAGTTTGGAATAGCATTATAAAATAACAGATAATTCCTGATTAGCTAAAAAGGACTATTAACTCAAAATGCATCTTTAACATAATACTGTAGGAATATAGAACCTATAAGTTCTGTTACTGTCTAAATTGTGTCTCCGCCAAAATTCATATTTGAAGGCTTTAATTCCAGTGTAACTGTATTTAGAGATGGAACCTATATGGTTAAGTGAGTTCTAAATGGCAGGCCCTAATCCAATTGGATTGGTATTCGTATAAGAAGAGGAACCAGAGCCACCCAGTCTGTGGTTATTTTGCTAGAGCAGCCTGAGCTGAAAATAAGGGCTCTTTATAGTATTGTTAAAAACAATTAGACGATGTTTTCAGTTTTAACTTGGGACATCCTCTCTTGCTATAGCTCTGGCATCAGGAAGAGATATTCCTCATTATCTGTTTCTCAGCAAAATTGCAAATGTTCTCAGTTCCAACACCAATGGCTTTTTTGGCTTCTATCTTGGCAGTGGGAGTGAAGGGCAGGGATGAAGGTTTTTCTTTGGGATTGCTGTTTAGTGGAGATTAAATCTGGGATAATTGCAGGTGGCCGGTTAGTTCAGTTGGTTAGAGCATGGTGCTAATAAATCTGGGATGATGAGGTGAGGTGGACGATAAAGAGACAGAAGAGGAATCGAAGAACTCTAGTGGGATGAGAATGAATATTGGAACCAGGATTCTTGGCCTAAAACTGCAACCATGCTCTTTACTAGCTTTATGACCTTTGAAAGTTACACAACTTCTCTTTGGTTCAGTTTCTTCATGTTAAATATTAGATACAGAAATAATAATAGAAATACGATAAAAATAATATATTCTACATTTGGGTAGACTGGATAAATGAAAGATGTTCAAAATCATTAGCTGAATTAAGGGCATAGTTGCTTTGATATCCTTATCACCAGGTAATTATTCCCACTTTCAGAGATATTTTGAAGCAAAGAAAAGGGTATGGTCTTAGAATTCAGATCTGTGTTCAAATTCTAACTCTGTCAATTAGTAGCTATATGACATTAGGTAAGTTACTTAGCCTCTCTGACATTCAATTTCATTATCCTTAAAATGAGGACAACAATGCTCACCTTATATTGTTTATAAGGAGTAAGTCAATTAGGTATGTGAAGTGCCTGACCAAGGCTGATTTAATATTGTAAACATGTCATTTTCTTAACAAATTAAGTGCATTCTCAACCTCAATCCCCATAAAATTTTCATGCAATCTGACAAGCTGTTCTAAAATTCATCTGTAAGAGAAGATACACAAAAATATCCAAATGAAAAAGAACATCTGGAGAATTCTGCTACTATATGTATGAAAATAGTATAAATTAATTAAATCATTACGATAGTAGCATAATAGACACACAGATCAGTGAAAAAGAATGGAGTCCACAGACAGACCAAAGTAGAAAGAGATTTTGCATATCATATAGATTTTAAGGAAAGAACAGACTGATAAAGTGTTGGTCTAACACTTTATTAGCCCAATTAAATTCCTACCTCATTCCATATACAAAAATAAATTCCAGGCGGATTCAAGTTCTAAAAGTAAAAAAAAAAATTACTAATAGAAAAAATACAGAACATTTATAGAGGGTTTGGGAAGGCTCTAGGTAAGAGAAAACTCGGAAGTTATCACTCTCACCATAAGATAAAGAGAAAGCTCACATATTTTATTCTTGTATTGAAATTTCTTCCCATCAACAGAAATGAAGTGAATCCCAACCTCTACTGTGGAATTCTAATCAGTATACAAAAATCCTCCTGTCCTTACAAAAAACTTTTAAAAATAGTCTTGCAAGTATAGAGGAAAACTGTAACAAAATCTTTTTTAAAAAGGAGATTTCTTTCATATTAACACTAAATACAACAAAACAATTTTCTACCAAATGGGCACCTTGGTAATCTAAGTGGTAGTGGTTACAACCACACACAATTTAGAAATGTATAAAATAGACAATTTCAAAATAAATATATACTATGCTCCCATGATTCTAAACTGCATTATTAAGTGGATTTCTCAACAATTCACGACCATTTATTAAAGACTAATGTGTTTTAAAATGCAGAAATAGGAAGCCTATATGAATTAGGTAATCAGAAACTTACTTGCTACAGTATTCAACATTTTAAAGGTATAAGTAAGTAATTCAATAAAGAGGAAAAAAATGAGCTAAGTGGGTTTTTTTTTCTCTTTTGAATGACAACCTTGGGGTTATGTTTTAATTAACATGTTGACAAAGTATTTTCAAAAGCTTTACCTCAAGTTTTTATTCATCTGAATGGCTTTCAATTGTTCACTATCACTTGATTTCACAATGGAAAAACAATTTGTAACATATTAATACAAGAGATTATTTACAACTGATTCAGCATCTATACAATATCAAATTGAGGGAATGAAATATGTCATAGATACTTCTCAGAGACACTTACCATCATTACATTTTTTCCTTAAGATACCATTTAAATTGGCCTCTATAGCTACCAGAGTTATTTCATCACTGTGTCTTTTTCCTACTCACACTTTTACTATATACTCCCGTCTCCTGCAGCAAGCAGATATTCATTCTTTCTCAGGTTTAATAAGGAATTTTGCTGTTGGCAAGTATTAGGAAATTGACAAGAAGTAAAAGCAGCAAACGAGAGGAAAGTTAAAGATCTCACAATAAAAATTATCCTTAATAAAATATTCAAAAAGACAAGATCTGTTAGATCTTCTGTTGGTCTTTGCACTAATTAATCTCTACCCTTAAGTCAAAGCCAGCTCTCTATTGCCTAATCCCTTATTATTCAATAACACTATGCACTTTGGTCTTTCTTCTACAAGAAAGTTTCTACTCCAACCTTTAGTTTTGAAAGAGAAGTTAGGTAGGTAGAGATGGTTAACCTGGGTTTTAGGAAGATACTCATTTATAACTAAGAGAAGACTGCAGGGTATCACATCACATTCTTATTTTACTTTAAAAACTCTTCAATCGTCATTTATTCTCTGTCACCTTCAAAACTGCTTTCCACAAAATAAAAACTCTGTAAATCTAATGCAAAATGTTTGCTCTAGTGCGAAAGTACTAAGAATTCTCCCTTCAAAGCAGGAAACCTCAGGTGTGAAGTCTAACTTTTAAAAAGCGACAAGGAAGACCTCCGACATTTGCAGAGGTGGTTTGGGGAAAGAAACCCCCATGTCACTAGAGAGGTCGCCAACCGCCGGCCAGTGTTTGAGGCGGAAGCGCCCAGTATAACCGCCGCGAGACAAGCGTAGATGGTCTCGGGATCTGGAAGCTGCGATGTAAGGCAGGCCCGGAATCCTCAGCGGAGAGTTATCTCACGGCCGGGCCCGCAAATCCGGCCAGCTCCTCATAAACACGCAAGGCAGAGACAGAAGAGCGGCCGAAGAGATGGGTCATACAACTGTCAAACGAAACCCACCCACCGTTTGACCGTCCCCAAGGCTACAAGCCTTCCCTGCGTGGAACACTCACCAAGTGCCTCAGGATCGCGACTACAACTCCCAGGAGGCTGCGCAGCTGACAGAGTCGTGTCATTCCCAGAATGCAACACAGCGGAGTCCCTATTCCTCCTTCTCCTTTCTCCGCTCCTCCTACTTTTTTACCCGTCGTCATACGGGAGGGCCGGAGGTAGTGCGCGGGAGGGGACCCCCGAGTCCGCGGCGTGTCGCGTCAAACGCTGGGAGGGGGACGGGGCGGGGAGCAGGGGGGAGAATGGGAGGACGAAGGGGAGGGGAGAGAGAATGGGAGGGTAAATAGTGGGACAGGCAGGAAGATGGCGGCGGTAGCGGAGGTGTGAGTGCACCTGGGTCTCTGGGGCTGGATTTCTCTCCCTTTTACATTCCTCTTCTCTGTTTGAGATCGGCATCGAGAGGACTGAGTTCGGGTGGTGGCGGCGGGCGCAGCGCAGAGGTCACGGCGACAGCGGCAGCTGACGGCTGGAAGGGCAGGCTTCCTTCGCCTCTCGTCCTCCTTCCCGGTCCGCTCGGTGTCAGGCGCGGCGGCGGCGGCGGGCTGACTTAGTCCCTCTTCCAGCTCCCCCCGCGCCGGAGCGGGCACTTTTCTCTTCACCTTCCTCTGACCCTTCACCCCGGGTACTGGGCGCCTCCTCCCGCCTAGCTCGGGGAGCGGGGGCCGGTCTCCTGCTCGGCTGTCGCGCCTCCATGTCGGATAACCAGAGCTGGAACTCGTCGGGCTCGGAGGAGGATCCGGAGACGGAGTCCGGGCCGCCTGTGGAGCGCTGCGGGGTCCTCAGCAAGGTGAGCAACCTGCGGCCTCCTGCCCAGACTCACCTGCACCAAGGCCAGCCGCTGAGGGCACGGGGTGGGGCTGGGCGGGAGCACGGACAGTCCTGGGGACGGGGCTGCGGAATGTGCTCGGGTGCGGGGCTAACTGCCGCAGGAGTGCCCGGGCGAGGACTGGGGGGAGGGGGACTGTTTTCTTCGCCTGCCCCGGAGCCCGGTGGCGGCGGCGGCCGAGGACCGAGGAAAACGTGTCCCAGATCCGAATCCAGTTTGGGAACGGGATGCGAACTGTGACTTGGGACCCAGGGTGGCAGCTGTCCCGGGTACAAGAATCTTGGTTGGGCAACAGCGGTTCCCGAATGACTGGTATGAAAGCGGTGCACATCGGACCTCTCAAACGAGGTTAGTCCGGAGATGTCGAGCAGAGTAGGGTTGGGGGTCGCATGGGGCAGGTGTTCTTTGGACGCAGCTGTATATAGGCAGAAGCCGGAGCAACTTGGCTTGCTGCTAAAACCTGAAGTGGTAAACTGTGCCAGGTTACATATAGGGAAAGATGTCAATGAAGAGGACTTAGGTACTCTTTCCCTCACTCTTTACCCCAATCAGAAGAGCTATTGAATCCGCACATGATAGGTACAAAAAATACAGTAACTTGGAATGTCAGAGCTGAGACCCACCTTTTAGTTCAGGAAGAAGAGCGTTTTTTAATAATAAAATACTCTTTAAGACAGAGTGCCAGAGTAAGGAAACACATATTATCCTCCCTTTAAAAACTACAGTTTTTAAAACCACTTTTTCAATATTTTAGCAAAGCAGATAGTTGCAGGACTCTAAGGCTAACTAGTTACAAACCGATGAGACCCTTCTTAAGAAAGTGGGTGGGCGATCTTTTCTTTGGATAGTACATGGTTTGGGGGGTTTGGGGGAGGTTCTCTCGTTTTTTGAGTTTTGTTACGGGAAGAGCCACATTGCCTTTTTTACTTCCTTCTCCCTTCATTTTAAACTTTTAGAAATGGCTGGAGCTAACAGTTAACTTGGAGAGGGGTTGCTGTAGCCATCCCTCAACAAGCTGGTCATAAGATACTAGGTCATGTGCAGCAACTGGCTAATAAGAAAGCACCCTGCTTCCAGTATACATACTTTGGCTAAGCATTTGGACATCGTTTGTGGAATTGTTTCATATTAGGCTTTTATATTGTATTGAGAAGACTGATGAGAAAGACGAGTATGTCAGAACTAAGGCTTGCAACTCTTAACTCTTATTTGCATAGCAGAAAAATTATGGTGTGTATGATATACTGTGATCATTATTGGAATTTCAGTGACAGATTTTCAGTAAAGTGAAGCTCCGTGGGGTTTCTTTAGATTAAATTTATTTTGTAATTTAGGAATCTGTATTGAGTACATTGTGTAATAGGTGTGCATTTTCAAGTGGCATTGTTATGAAATGGATTCTTTGCTTCTCAGTGATTCTGGTAGCTTCATTGCTTTTCTCATTAAATGAGGAGACTTCCAAATTAGTACTGTGGTGGTGTTAAGTATTTTACAAAACAAGCTTTGCCTTTGACCTATTGGCGAGAGGATTGGATTGGAATGTCCGGTGGAAAGAGTCACCAGAACTCTTGAGTAGTCACTGTATGCAGAGTAGTTGAAGTAAGTATACTGCTGTATGACCAAAAAATGAAACACTATCTCCTTGATATTTAAATGCATATGAATGTAGTATTTGGTCATTTCTATGGTATAACTTCAGTTTTGATGTATGTGGAATCGAGAGGAATACAGGTTTTGGTATTCTTAACAGCTATAAAGGAAATTTACCTGAAGTTTATCAAATTATGGTCATATATAATGTTTTCTGGGAGCTTTTTAATCAGGAGTATTATATATTGAATANATAAATGTTGAACCCTTTGTATTCACCTGGTAATTTAAACAAGAATTAGAACTCAGCATCTTCTCTTTTCTTTCTATTGAATAGTAAGTCCCAGTCTAATTTGTTTTGTTTCTTCTACTCCAAAATGAAGTGAATGTTGGTTGAGGGTGGGGGTAAACTTATTCGAAATTTGTCAGTCAAAAAAATTTTTGTATGGTAATCTAAAATGAAATGTAAGTACCAATGAAGCGTATTTTCAATAGAATTGCTTCTTAAGCAATAACGTTCCAAAAATACTGGCTAGACAATAAGTCTAAGTGGTTATAACAAGTATCAGGATGAATCAAGGATGGAAAAAGATTCATGCCTCAGTAGGACTTGAGAGCAACTAAGCTGGGATAAAATAAATCTCTTGTGGCTTCTTCTGAATTTCCTCCATCTTTGGAGAAATTTTCCGTTTCTCCACACACCTAATTCTTGACTGAATTTCATCCACCTTTAGAGTCTATCTCAAATACTGTTCTTTCCATGAAGCCTTTTCTTATTTAGCCAGCTGTTTCAGATCTCCTTCCCTTGACTTTCCATAGCATTTTATTTGTAATTGGCTTCTGACTCTTAGTCTAGATTTTTTTTCCCCTCTTGAATTTAAGCTTGCTGGATTATTGGGAGCAGAAATCTTTGATTCTCCTGCCATGTCTAACTTATTGCCTTGTCTCTTATAAATGGGGAAGAGTGAGGGAAGATTATGGTGAGAAGCACAAAGTTCTGCTTCTAGGTGTGACAATAGCAGTTAACATTTACTGAATAAAGGATCCTGAAGCTTATGTAATTTATTGGATTCTTTATAGGAAAATATTGTGAAGTTATGGACACACAATTGCTGGGGCCCTTTCCTTCACTTTGGAAGGACTCTGTTCTTCTAGTCTGGTGTGCTGAAGGTTAAGCTTCATTAGTTATGCATAACTTTGCCTTGGGCTGAGAAAATACTGTGTGCCTGGCAGAGTTCTAAGTCTATTCTTGTTTAATCTTAACAACTTGTAAGGAATAGAGTTTGACAAAGAAACAGTAAGTAACTTGACCACAGCCACAAGGTTACTAGCCTTCTGAGAGGCAGTAATTGGAAACAAGGTAGGATTGTATGCCTGTCTAAACAGTTTGTATTATAGGCAATGTAAGTTTTGGAGCTGGAAACCCAATGAGATTAATGTGTAAGATAAGTAAGCAAATGAGCTTAACAAGTAAATAAGATTATGTGAGCTATGAAGCAAAAAACAAAAACAAGATACTGGAGGTAAGGTTATTAAGTCTTCTCAGGAATCCAGGAACCTGATGATTTGATTGGATTGATTGAAAATAGAGAAGAGGAACCAAATTTAAGGGTATAATATAATGGCAAGATGAACAGTAGTTGGTGATGGGCTGTAAAAGTTGAGAAGGAGCAGTCAGATATTGAGTATATTCTATGAATACAGTAAATTATTCATTTTATTCAGCCATTCAAATAACAGGCAAAGAATCTGAAGTTCAGAAAAGTTTAACTTGTCAAAACTCACAGAAGTAATAAAATACTTGAGTATGTGATTTTATATCCACTGTTGTTGTTCATACAATACACATATCCTGAGCAAAGTTATAGTCTAAATGATTGCAGAAGTGTTAGTATAGGAACACAGGAAAGAAGCTCACCTTAAAGGAGGAGATGAATTCAGTTTTGTATATAACCATCATTATTTCTAGTCACTGTCTAAGTGGTGGTAAGTCACAGGGAGTTAAAAATAACAAGATGGATAAAGAAGATGTGGTACATATACACAATGGAATACTATTCAGCCATAAGAAAGAAACAAATCCTACCATTTGCAACAACATAGATGGAGCTAGAGGGTATTATGCTTAGTGAGGTAAGTCAGGCAGAGGAAGACAAATAACAAATGATCTCCCTCATTTGTGGAGTATAACAGCGAAGCAAAACTGAAGGAACAAAATAGCAGCAGACTCACAGACTCCAAGAAGGGACTAGTAGTTAACAAAGGGGGAGGGAGAAGGGGATTGTGGGTTATCATGATTGGTGCACATGGTGTGTGTGGGGTCACAGGAAAGACAGTGTAGCTCAGAGAAGACAAATAGGTACTCTAGCATCTTACTACACTGATGGACAGTGACTGCAATGGGTCATGGTGGGGGCACTCATTAATAAGCCCCCACCACATTGTTTTTCTTGTGAAACCTTCATAAGAGTGTATATCAATGATACCTTAATAAAAAAAAAGAAATAACAAGATGGTAACTAGGGAGCTCTTAGGAAAGAATGAGTTAAATCACTAGTATGGATGACCTTTCAAGGAGGGGTTGTAATGATGGATGGAGCTTAGAAGATTTAAGAGCTGAACCATCTCAAATATGCAGAATTAGGGAATAGGAAAAGTAAAGATTTCTCAGTGGGTAAAGAGCCTGAGCCA